CCTAGCCCATTGGATACTCATCTTGTGGTGCCCTTTATCAACTAGTCTGCAAAACAAAATATATTTCAATCTTTTTGGTCAGGATTGAAGGGTCCAGTCCTGTACAATTATACCATTCACGCATGGAATGTGCATCTCCTAGAAGCAAGATGGATTACATTTTGTCCCATCTTTCTAAACTCTCCTTTCCATTGAATAGAATNAAGGTAACATGTTCTACCTTACTTATTTCAACTTGATTGAAATTTATTTTTTAAACTATGGCTATACTTGTTATAGTATGATATGCTTGATTCTCCATGCATCCATCTTTCAGTATTTACATGCCATAAGATGTTAGAGATGCATATAGACAGGATGAAAAACGCGTAAGCATACCTCGTATACATGTTGAGGAAAGATGAATCTATGCTTTAGATGCTAAATAACGCGTAAGCACGCCTCTCAATGATATGAGCTCTAGATGAATTTGAGGCTATATGAGAGGAAAGATGAATATATGCTTTAGATGCTCAATAACGCATAAGCATATCCTCATATACCGGTTGAGGAAAGATGAATATATGATTTAGATGCTAAATAACGCGTAAGCATGCCTGTCGATGATATGAGCTCTAGATGAATTTGAGGGTAGACGATATAAAGTGCTTAAGACGCTAAGAAAAGTCCGATCGACTAGACGTTAAATGATTCATATGCATTTAGTTGCATTACATGAGTTACGATGTCATTTACATCATGGGATGATTTATACTCATGTTAGATGATATTTAGATGTTATATCATGACATGTGATGTGTGTGTACTATGTTTACATACTTATTTGTATGTGTACACATGAGATAAAATGATGAAAAACATATGAATTAGTAAGAAAATGGAAGTATACCTAGATGTAAAAGATAAGTGGTGTGTTAATAAATATGTTTAAATGAAGGTCAAATAGCACATTTAGAATGAAATGAATCATTCTTTATTAAGCGATTAGCGCTCACCCTTTTATTGTTGATTGCTTTGCGGGTAAACCAAAAGCGAAAGATGCTAGAGACAACGGGACTACACGTGAGGGGAGATGATTTATTATCATCTTGATGTAAATAATGTAAATGACAAATGTTTTTGAAACACATTTTTGAAGCTTCCACCATATGAATGAAAATGACATTAATATGTTTTGATTGATTGATGCCCAAATGAATTTAAGTTTTTATTTATATTTTTGAAAGGACAAATTTTGATCCTGCGGTACATCTTACAATAATGTTTCAGACATTATTATTATTCTTGCACAGGTTTTCTAAATATAACTCGTTCCCCAGACAAGAATTCTCTGGATTCTCATTGAGGGATATTCAGAGGGTACCTGACTGGAGAAGGGTTTTACAATTTATAATTGTCCTCGATGAGATTTTATCTTTTGAAAATATTGTATAATGACTTCATTATCAATACTATCAAATACATTCTTTTCTATATACATAACTAAACTATCATTCAACCATTAATCACTCATTCTATTTCGCAAACGATTATTCACAACATTCATAGCTGAAAATGCTCTCTCTACACTAGCAGTGGCAACTAGTAAAATCAATATTAATTTTATCAACATATAAACTAATAGAAACACTCTATCCTTCTTAGTTTCAGCCATCACTCTTGCAAGATCTCCAATCTCATTCAATTCCATGAATTTAACATTAGAGCATACATCCAATGCAAATATCAAATTGAGAATCAAGCGTTATAAGTTCTAAGTTAGAAAAATCTTCTAGATAAAGTTAAGCAAGACGCATCAATTTTTGCTTATCAAAAGCAACAAAATTTTCATTTGGACATAAGCATGCCAAGCAAATAAGTAATTCAATGTTTACCTCATTGAAACGATTATTCAACTCTTGAAGCTACATATCTAGGACACCAAAATACTTCAATACGGTAATGATGCATGTTTGTGATACCTTTAGTCTTCCGTTGTGATCGCCCTTGAATAAAAAATTTGTCATCCATATTTGGAATATCAATGTCATGTTTGGCAAAAAAATAACAAACTTTGTTAAGTAAATTCTCTCATCCACTATCCCTCATCAATTGTAAAGCTTGCTTACACGCTTCAACCAAATTCATAGCATTTACAATATCTTGATCTTTTTTTTGTAGTGCTTGAGAAATAAAAAATTTGTCATCCATATTTGGAATATCAATGTCATGTTTGGCAAAAAAATAACAAACTTTGTTAAGTAAATTCTCTCATCCACTATCCCTCATCAATTGTAAAGCTTGCTTACACGCTTCAACCAAATTCATAACATTTACAATATATTGATCTTTTATTTGTAGTGCTTGAAAAAGTTCATTTGTAAAGTTAAGTAAATCTTTCATCATAAATAGACTAAACACAAAATTAAATGATTGCATAAATTTTAATATATTATTAGAGAAAAATAGGGATTGGAGAGATGGAGCGAGGCACCCTGGATAAGAGAAAAAGTTAGGATTGGAGAAAAAGGGGGAAATATATTATTAGAGAAAGTCACAATTTTTAATTAATTTAATTTACTGTAATTTTGTAATGTAGTTTTTTTATGGGGCAAAATTTAAAAATAAAACCCAGGTGGGGTCACTTGACCCCACGTGACCCCATGTGGGCTTGCACTTGGTTCACACTCCTATCCAAGCCCCATTTTATTTAAAGATATTATTTTAGTTCTCAACCAATGAGAAGATATGAGAGATTTGTACGACACTAACCCATTTACAGGGTTGTAATCATTACCTTGAGTAAAACGGAAATAAATAAGCAGTTCCCTCTCACAAAATCAAGATCAGATCCATTGAATTCAACAAAGAAAATAACAAAGACATACTACGAGAAATAGACTGACTCGACATTCTCTAAGAATTCTTAGAACACCAAACACTTGTAATACCAGATCGCAGTTCGCAACCTAGTGTAATCTTAGTTAACGACCAGGAACATACTCATATAAGAAAACAATAGATGCAAGATTCGCTTTAAGCATCTGAACCACTATAAAAAGTCAACTGTTCATTTACTGTTTTACGTTTTTGCATGCTACTGTGAAAATAGTACCACAATAAACCTTAATAATTATCTCACGCGTGATTTCTTAATATTTTATCACATGTAAAGTTGTTGGTGTCAAAATCACGTATCAACAATGCGAATAATCAATAATACTGAATGGCAGATGGTATGCATTATAAGTTAAAGCATGAAAGATACCTATAACATACTTACAAATCGTTAATTATGCAACAATACATTGAAATTTGGAAGTCAGCTAATGGAGACAAACAAACATAACAATGATGCACTTGCTTTAAATTGGAGAATACATCATCTGTAACTGAATATGTTAAATAAATACAAGTGATTTTGTTTAGATTCTTATTAAATTTATCATTTTTATTAATTATAAAGTCATAAAATAAATGGGAAATTTTTAGAAATGTTGACAAATATAAAAATTTGGTGAATGAAGTTGTTATTTTTGAAACATCCTACATCTGATTTTTTTTAATGTAATGCATAAAATAGCCACATGTTAAAAATGATTGTAAAGATTTTTCATTTCTACACGAGTGATAAGGTTTGCAGACAAAATTTGAAAAATAATAAGATAGAATGTTGATTTAAATTTGAAATTTCTCATAAATCTACAAATACTTTGATTGTATAACAATGAAAGGATGGTTCATATTATCTTTCTTTTTGCTATAAAATTGATGACAACCCTTGTAACCTTGTCTAATACTCATCAGATTTTACACAGTGATTCCGGATAAAATATTGTCTATAGTAGAAGGAAGCATGATGGCAGAAGAATTATGATTCAAAGTGAACGCCCTCATCTGCTCACAGTAAGCCCTCCCTCCTATCATATATTCTTTTTATTTTATTTCTTTTCACTGAGGAGGAAAGTGCATGATCAACCCGTGTTGGAAGATAAATTCTAATTTCTAGCCCATCTTAGTGTTGGAGCCCAAAGCTAAAATTCTGTTTTAAAAAAATAGGACAACACCTGCATGAAAGAATGAATAGCAAGAAGATTCAAACAACCCAAATTGTATTTATTGGAAGATAAATTCCATAATAATTCAGCGTCGATTGGCAAGTTGAATAGTCGATAATGAGGATGTGTCTGTCTTCCAAAATAATAACATTCATGATAGTTTTTTCACAACTAGACAACGAGCCCAGCTGGGCTTGACTCTTTCGACTCGCCCAAATCCTGCCTCAACTATTTAAGAACTACTGAAGTGGGGACCAGAACACCGTTGGTCTGCAGCTATTTAGTTTCCATAAATTGTATGTGGAATTATAATTTTACTAGCACCAAAAGAATTCCTAGTAAAACCATCACACGCCTGATCACTGAATCACTCAGTGAATAATGTAGGTTAAAATCTGATATGAGTCATATGACCCATCAGACCAAATATCCAGATGATTCGATATTTAATGTCATCACATTTCTGCCTCAAGAGACGTCAAAGTAGCAGCAAACACTATCCATCATCACATTACAACTTGCAGGAAAAGGAATATATAAGTATAAAAATATGTTTTTCTTGGAACAGGTATGATAGGGGTTGACTGTTGTTATGACCTTCCGATGGTTTATATAATTGGAGGTAATAGAGTGTTTGCAATGTGTAATCTACCATCAAAATCTAATCCTGGATTGAAATTGAACCGTCGGTCAAAAAAAGGTTTTACAAATACAATTAAGTAATCTGAAAATCCCTACAAAATTATAAAAATTGGATTCTCAGGACCAAATGAGCAAAATATACATGCAAATCCAACAAGAGCGAAGCTCCAAGTCAAAAAAGTGATGTTCATTTCAATCATTTCTTTGTCCAAAACTTCAAGTGCCAGTCAACAATTATCTACTACATAGTACATTGACAATCTTTAGATCTAGGCTATATATTGTATGCAGATTACCCATAACCATGGACCCATCCCCGAATTGCATGAAAACTTCAAATCTTTTAGTACACATCAGTCTACACTGGCACCAAAATCATAGTTCAAGACCGGTATCAGCAACCGCATTAACAAATATCAACCACTACCACGTTTAAAATGTTCTCGAATAAATCTTTCAGCATAGGATGGATACTTATCTCGAATGTATGCTCGAAGACACTTCTGGTAGGAGAAATCTATCCATCCACCATCGGTTCTAACAACATACAGGCACCTTGAATGCCTGTATTCAGGATGTCGATCAACCTTCAGAGAAGTTAAAAAGACTTATTAATTTGTTTCATATAGAGAAAATAATTCTTTTATCTCATAACAGACAAAAAATAAGCTGAAGTGAGAAAATTTAGCCATCCAGGACAGCCATCTATATCCAACACATGTACCTAAATAAATTTGCCTATAATAATACAATAATCAGTTCTGTTACTAACAAATCCCAAACTATGAAGAGATCCTAATAGTAATAGAGAAAAAAAAGGGTGATAAATATATAGGGAAAAGAGGATTCCAAATGACAAATAATGGAGGCGAGACAGACTGCAGGCAAAAATTTCTGTCTACAGATCTACATGCCAATCAAATGTGAGACAAAAACCCACCAAATCTTACCAAGCTTTGTGAAGAAAACCAATCAGAGGTAATCACCTGATTTATCCGTGAATTAAAGTTCTAATTTTTTATGTTGAAAGTCAAAATTTTCTACCCCACATAAAGAGGGGACAAATTAAAATATGTCTGCAGGGAAATTCAAAGAATCCTGTACCCAAGAAGTCAAAGATGAACAATAAAACTCAGTTATGCAACTAAACTGTCTCAAACGTGCAGATAGGAATGTAAATTGGGCTCAGCTAGCACCACTCCCACAGTTTCAGCTTGGCTAAGCTTTACTGAAATTAAAACAATCAGAAGTTCACTTGATCTAAGGTAAGTGGATGTGTCTCTGTCTGTGTGCATGTTTAAGCGTGTATGTGCAAACATGCATGTGTGTGTATCTTATGTTTGTAGTTCAATTGATTTAAATTCATCCTACTCAGAAAGAAAGATTTTACTTCAATTAGTAAGTAGATGAGATAAAACTTTAAAATTTCAGGTCAAAGTCCTGCCAGAGGTGAATCTTCGAAATTGATAAGGGTCATATGAGTGTTTTGATTGTCTGGCTTAATTGAAGTCCAGTTGAAGCTCAAGCTGACAGTAGTCCCTCGATGAGCTGATCCATAGTAAGGTAACTGATACAGGACTCAGGTCAGACAGACACTTAGCTTGCCTGTAAGACAGGCCAAATACACTTAAAACCATCTTTTTAAGGTATCATTAGAATTGTGAAAAACAACTTCCATTCTCTTTTATGTAATTCTCCAGGTATATTATTCTATGTGATCTATTCTGAAATTTTGTCCTGCAACTAGAAAAGAAAAATAGCCAGCTGAAAAAAGTATATTAACATAAGGACGACTGAACATTTTACACCAACATCCATAAGAAACACAACAAACAATACGGAAAGAAAGTTATTCGATATTGTTTAAGTTGTACTCTTGTGGTTGCAGACTCAAACACAGAAAAGATAAAAAGTGCATTTATGGCATGAGAAAATTCAGCTCAAAGAGATTAAAAAAGTTTTGTAATTAATTCAAAATGGTGCTTTTCTGTGTTACCTAATTCTTCAGTGGCTTAATTGCAGTTGACAAACAATAAATGGATCCAGCATCATCTGTATCAGTGTTTGGAACAAAAATAGCTAAGAATTTAACTTATTATTTGGAGGAACGATTTTAGCCTACAGCACATTATGCCATATCCAGAATTAAACAATCAAAAAAAAACTTCATCACCCACTCATGAAGAAACTAAAAGTATCGGTATCCATGATGATTACCATGCAAGATGCTTTCTGATTAGTCTCCTTTAGGTGAAGCATTCCTATAGAGAATTTGCTGAAGCAAAAGTGATTTTAAAAATTAGATTGACGGATGACCTGGCCCTGACCATGACAGTATAAAGGGATCAAATTTACATATTTACTTTTCATAAGACAAGGTACCAAAATGCATTGCTAGTGTGATTCAATGAGTAGAATGAAAACTTTTTCTTATCTTCCTGAACTTATTAAGATGAGCAGAAACAACAAACAAACTAATGGATGATGAGCAACAACCGCCCCTTTCCTTGGAGCTTGAATATCAAAAATCAAAGATGCAAAAAGGATAAAGGAACAAAAAGAACAAGGGCTTCAATTGCAAGAAATAGGCAAGGTGACCAATATTTGACAGAGGATGTAATTGATAAAAAATGTAAAGGATTAATGCAGAAGAATGCAGAGTATTTGAAGATGACATTGTTTGAATTGTTTTTGCAACTCCCAATTGACCAAAATGGAGATTGAAAGTAAAATAATTTGTAAAATAGCAAGCACAAAAGATTCATTACAGTAGGTAAAATAAAATATTCAATAGAGGGCGTTTGGATCATATAATGTTTTATTATAAAGACATATTATAATGAAAAATGCTATCCTTACAAAGACCTATACAAAGAGGGCTACAAAGTGACATCATCCAGAAGAAAAAAACAAAGAAAAAATGGAAAAAGAGAGAGAGAGATCATGAAAATCAAGGGTGAGGATTGTCTTTGTATGCCCCCTTTGTATGTGTCTTTGTAAAACTAGCATTGCTCTATTATATTAATGGAAAGAAAGATCACCTTGAAGATTACTGTGAATGTTTAGAAAATATGTTTGGTTAGTTCGAATAAATTGGTAAATAATATATTTGGTTGGGAGAATAAATGGGTGGGTATGTTATACAGATTACTAAATTGCCCTCATTTTTATATGTTAATATAATAGTATTTTTTGTTATTAATTTTTTGAATAATTTCTTTTAACCCCTTATTTTTCAGATTTAGCAAAAACACCCTAGAAACCAAAAACGGTTTAAACTTAACAAAAAAACCCCTACGCACCCCAAGCCACTGCCGGCAGCCAGCAACCACCGCGGGCAGCCGAAGGCAATACCACAAATTTGGCCATGAAATGGCCAAGTCTTTGGCCGTGAAATGGCCAGATCTGGTTGTTTCCGACCATGTATATGTGATCCATGTCGAAAAGGGTTTTACCATTGCACAACTGGTCATATACGGCCAGTCAAGGCCATAGATCTGGCCGTGAAACGACCACAGATCTGGCCCTTTTTGACCATGTATCTATGATCCATGACCAGAAAGGGTCTCACCAACGCACGGTTGGCCATATACGACCAGTCGTACGCCATTATGGCGACTTTTGGCAGTCTTTATCGGCGGTTGACGATGGCTGGCGGTGATGGCTAGATCTAGGTACAACAACATTTCGTGGCATTTCAGTAAATAATGACAATAACAAGAGCAATGTCGTCCGGAAAATTTAAAAAGTGAGGACAAAAGGGTTTATATGAGTGAATTGAGTGTTTTGTACATATTAACAAATATAAGGCTAATTTGAACCAAATGCTCAACTGTTTAGGGGCAACATGGGACACAAAATTGCATTACTTAGGGAATATTTTAATAACAGCGACAACCCCCCCCCNGTGTGTGTGAGTGACTGTCTTCAAGTTTCTAAACTTGCTCCTTTCGTGCTACGTGGGAAAAAGGGTGAATGCCCGTATGCATAATGAATTTCTAATTCTGTATTATATGTTTTTAGGCATAGAGACGCGTGTTGTTTTGTTGCTTTCATGCTCTTCTTTACAGGCTCGAAAGCCAAGAAATGGAGGTGGAGAGGTTGACAGTACATTGAGAGGACGTAAAAAAGGATTAATTGAAAGCATGTAATTAAAACAGACATCAATGGCGGGTAAAATGAGAGGTTGTAGTGGTAGATATAGTGGTTGGTATGTTGGTTTCCAGCCCACTCCACACAACCACCACCACAACGGACGCAAAACTCCGAAAAATTAAACCACAATAAGTCAATAACTGAGCAAAGTGGCTCTACGATAACAACAGTATTCTTTTTTCACTTTTCTCTCAAATTTCTAAAACAATAACAGCTGTTTCATCAATCTAGTCAAAGTCAGATAAAGGCCACACTCTTCTTCAGAATCAGAAAGTGTGGCATTTTCAATCACAAAGCAAAAACCTTTATTGGAACTCATCAAGCCAGCCATTACTTACCTAGACTGTTTAGCTGATGGGACCAATCTATGAAATAAGAATCCGGCAAGACTTCATCGTCTTTCTTGAGCTCTCAACAGTTTACAAATCATGTAGCCCCATCTCTAATCTCTATAGTGTACAAAGAAACTCATTATGCTAATTGGGTGTTTATAGTGAGGGTCCACATGGACTTATATTATATATATATATATATATATCCAGCTGTGTGGAGGTCCTCAAAGTTTTAGGGGTCCACCCACAAGTGTCTAATGTTTAAACATCATGCTTGCCCCGTAATTATAGCATATACATCGAGATCTTTTCATTAACTACTAGAGATTGAAGCTGTGCCATGATGATGAGAAGAAGTTGACCTCTAATTACCCATTACACCTGTACCTTTTTCTCTTTTTCTCTACCCCTTTGATAAATTTTCCACGTAACAATTCTAATTTCTAGCCCTTCTTACTGTTGGAGCCCAAAGCTAAAATTCTGTTTTAAAATAACAGGACAACACCTGCATGAAAGAATAAATAGCAAGAAGATTCAAACAACCCAAATTGTATTTATTGGAAGATAAATTCCATAATAATTCGGCGTCGATTGGCAAGTTAGAAGTTGGCATATCATCAAACTGTAGCGTGCCTTCAATACTCGGTAATCAGGATGTGTCTGTCTTCCAAAATAATAACATTCATGATAGCTTTTTCACAACTGGACAACCCAGCTGGGCTTGACTCTTTCGACTCGCCCAAATCCTGCCTCAACTGCTTAAGAACTACTGAAGTGGGGACAAGAACACCGTGGGTCTGCAGCTATTTAGTTTCCATAAATTGTATGTGGAATTATAATTTTACTAGTACCAAAAGAATTCCTAGCAAAACCATCACACGCCTGATCACGGAATCACTTGGTGAATAATGTAGGTTAAAATCGGATATGACCCATCAGACCAAATATCCAGATGATTCGATATTTAATGTCATCACATTTCTGTCTCAAGAGACGTCAAAGTAGCAGAAAACACTATCCTTCATCACATTACAACTTGCAGGAAAAGGAATATATAAGTATAAAAATATGTTTTTCTTGGAACAGGTATGACAGGGGTTGACTGTTATTATGACCTTCAGATGGTTTATATAATTGGAGGTAATAGAGTATTAGAGTGTTTGCAATGTGTAATCTACCATCAAATTCTAATCCTGGATTGAAATTGAACCGTCGGTCAAAAAAAGGTTTTACAAATACAATTAGGTAATCTGAAAATCCCTACAAAATTATAAAAATTGGATTCTCAGGACCAAATGAGCAAAATATACATGCAAATCCAACAAGAGTGAAGCTCCAAGTCAAAAAAGTGACGTTCATTTCAATCATTTTCTTTGTCCAAGACTTCAAGTGCCAGTCAACAATTATCTACTACATTGACAATCTGTAGATCTAGGCTATATATTGTATGCAGATTACCCATACCATGGACCCATCCCCGAATTGCATGAAAACTTCAAATCTTTTAGTACACATCAATCTACACTGGCACCAAAATCATAGTTCAAGACCGGAATCAGCAACCGCATTAACAAATATCAACCACTACGACGTTTAAAATATTCTCGAATAAATCTTTCAGCATAGGATGGATACTTATCTCGAATGTATGCTCGAAGACACTTCCGGTAGGAGAAATCTATCCATCCACCATCGGTTCTAACAACAAACAGGCACCTTGTATGCCTGTATTCAGGATGTCGATCAACCTTCAGAGAAGTTAAAAAGACTTATTAATTTGTTTCATATAGAGAAAATAATTCTTTTATCTCATAACAGACAAAAAATAAGCTGAAGTGAGAAAATTTAGCCATCTAGGACAGCCATCTATATCCAACGACATGTACCTAAATAAATTTGCCTATAATAATACAATAATCAGTTCTGTTACTAACAAATCCCAAACTGTGAAGAGATCCTAATAGTAATAGAGAAAAAAAAAAGGTGAGAAATATATAGGGAAAAGAGGATTCCAAATGACAAATAATGGAGGCGAGACAGACTGCAGGCAAAAATTTCTGTCTACAGATCTACATGCCAATCAAATGTGAGACAAAAACCCACCAAATCTTACCAAGCTTTGTGAAGAAAACCAATCAGAGGTAATCACCTGATTTATCCGTGAATTAAAGTTCTAATTTTTTATGTTGAAAGTCAAAATTTTCTACCCCACATAAAGAGGGGACAAATTAAAATATGTCTGCAGGGAAATTCAAAGAATCCTGTACCCAAGAAGTCAAAGATGAACAATAAAACTCAGTTATGCAACTAAACTGCCCAAGTTGTACCTGAACTGTCTCAAACGTGCAGATAGGAATGTAAATTGGGCTCAGCTAGCACCACTCTCACAGTTTCAGCTTGGCTAAGCTTTACTAAAATTAAAACAATCAGAAGTTCACTTGATCTAAGGTAAGTGGATGTCTCTCTGTCTGTGTGCATGTTTAAGCGTGTGTGTGCAAACATGCATGTGTGTGTATCTTATGTTTGTGGTTCAGTTGATTTAAATTCATCCTAGTCAGAAAGAAAGATTTTACTTCAATTAGTAAGTAGATGAGTTAAAACTTTAAAATTTCAGGTCAAAGTCCTGCCAGAGGTGAATCTTCGAAATTGATGAGGATCATATGAGTGTTTTGATTGTCTGGCTTAATTGAAGTCCAGTTGAAGCTCAAGCTGACAGCAGTCCCTCGATGAGCTGATCCATAGTAAGGTAACTGATACAGGACTCAGGTCAGACAGACACTTAGCTTGCCTGTAAGACAGGCCAAATACATTTAAAACCATCTTTTTAAAGTATCTTCCTAAACTTATTAAGATGAGCAGAAACAACAAACAAACTAATGGATGACGAGCAACAACCGCCCCTTTCCTTGGAGCTTGAATATCAAAAATCAAAGATGCAAAAAGGATAAAGGAACAAAAAGAACAAGGGCTTCAATTGCAAGAAATAGGCAAGGTGACCAATATTTGACAGAGGATTTAATTGATAAAAAATGTAAAGGATTAATGCAGAAGAATGCAGAGTATTTGAAGATGACATTGTTTGAATTGTTTTTGCAACTCCCAAATTGACCAAAATGGAGATTGAAAGTAAAATAATTTGTAAAATAGCAAGCACAAAAGATTCATTACAGTTGGTAAAACAAAATATTCAATAGAGGGTGTTTAGATCATATAATGTTTTATTATAAGAAAATATTATATTAATAGAAAGAAATATCACCTTGAAGATTACTAGGAATGTTTAGAAAATTTGTTTGGCTAGTTCGAATAAATTGGTAAATAATATATTTGGTTGGGAGAATAAATGATTGGTATGTTATATAGATTACTAAATTGCCCTCCTTTTTATATATTAATATAATAGTATTTTTTGTAATTAATTTTTTGAATAATTTCTTTTAACCCTCTATTTTTCAAATTTAGCAAAAAACACCATAGCAACAAAAAACGGTTTAAACTTAACAAAAAAACCCCTAAGCACCCCAAGCCACTACCGACAACCAACCACCACCGCAAGCAGCCGAAGGCAATGCCACAAATTTGGCCGTGAAATAGCCAAGTCTCTGGCCATGAAACGGCCAGATCTGGTCGTTTCCAACCATGTTTATGTGATCCATGGTTGGAAAGGGTCTCACCGTTGCACGGCCGGCCATATATGGGCAGTCAAGGCCATAGATCTGGCTGTGAAATGGCCAAGTCTTTGGCCGTGAAACGACCATAGATCTACCTTGAAACAGTCAGATCTGGCCATTTCTGACCATGTATCCGTGATCCATGACCAGAAAAGGCCTCACCGACGCACGGTCGTCCATATACGGCCAGTCGTACGCCATTATGGTGACTTTAGGCAGCCTCCAACGGCGATTGACAGTGATGGCTAGATCTAGGTACAACAACATTTCGTGGCATTTCTGTAAATAATGACAATAACAAGGGCAATGTCGTTCGGAAAATTTAAAAAGTGAGGACAAAAGCGTTTACGTGAGTGAATTGAGTGTTTTGTAAATATTAACAAATATAAGACTAATTTGGACCAAATGCTCAATTTTTTAGGGGCAACAGGGGACACAAAATCGGATTACCTAGGGAAAGTTTTAATGCCACCCCCCCCCCCCCCAAAAAAGAGAAAATAATATTCCTCGCAACTTACCCCCAAATGCCACTATTTGATTCCGGGAATAATTTTTTACAAATCATCCAAACATCGTCATCTACTCAATTTAAAAAAATATTACCCCAGTTATCAAATATTAACCCCATCCAAACAGCCCCATAATTATATAATAGATTATGCAAACTTTTGACTTACCATAATGGAATCAAGACCAGATCCAACTTTATCTTCACAATGTGGATGATAAACAAGAAGCTTTTCTACCACAGCTCTCGAATCTTCTGCCGTTAGACGGTCTCCATCCATATACCTAGAAGCGGGAAATATAATCAAATATAGCATGATAACTTAAGATGAAGACATAATTGTTTCATAAAGAGTAATTAATCTCTATACATCAAAGACCATGAGCTCCAATTTCAACCACCGGTAAGCATTATTCAACAGTCTCTGTGATAACTGCCAAATAAGTCTGAAAAATTATGCTTACTACACATTTTTGTGAATTGGGAATATTATGATCAACCTCAGGAAAAATTTTTGATGGCACCACAAATTTCTATGAGATTATTTAAGTATCAGGATATGAAGTTGCTTNAAAAAAAAAAAAAAAAAAAAAAAAAAAACACAATTGGGACAAAAACTTGATAAAGAAAAAAGAATACAATAATTGACAGTTAAATTTACAAATTACAAGTTACACAACAACTAATTTGAGGGTTGACTAGGACCTCTCTCATCTGTATCATCTAAATTACAAAATTGAAATAATTTTATTAAAGTATCATCGACAACCTCGTATTAATCATGATGACGTGACCGTTCCCAATCTCAAAAGACATATAAGGACTTTAATCAATTTCAGTGAAAGTTTAGTTCTCATTTCATTTAAAATTCTTCCACTTACACTATATGTTTGTTCGGATGAGACAATTGAGATAGGAACTGAAAAAACATTCAGGGCAAGTCTTGATAGTACCGAAAAAATATATTTTCTGGTTTTCTAATATTCTAAGACATCAAAGTTGGCTCTTTGTTGTGGATATGCTAGTAGCAAGTCAAGAATTCCAAAATATTGGTGAAGCTCATTACTCTGCAGCTGCATGGAAGACAATATATTTATTCTCATACCAGCTTTCATATTGCAAATAGAGAAAGACTAGACTTACAAAGACTCCTACAAAGACTCTTTGTACAAAGTGATGTAGCAACTAACGTTGAAGCCACATCACCACTTTCCACATTAGCATTTTCTTAAATATTTAATAATTAATTAAAATATTTCACTTAACCTAAATTCACCCCAAAAAAAAAAAAAAAAAATTGATTATACTAAATCAAAAATCCGTTCTCATCATTCATCTTCTTCTCTTCTCTCTCCTCCTCTTCCTTTCTTATTTGTTTCCCAATCTCAACTGCACCATCGCCGTCTATCCTTTTCGACCATCACTCGCAACCACACCGCCACTATTCACGAGGCATTGCCAAGGTGCGGCCAACCACCAATCCCTTGCCTCTTGTGGCACTACCAGCCATACCACATCTGGCCACGGTTTTGCCAACCACCAATCCCTTATCTTCCTCTTCTTTACATTTTAGTTTTTTCTTCCGTTTTCTTTTTTTCTTACTCTTAATAAAAAAAATACATTATAAAACATAATTAATTACAACCCCTCAATCTCCAAATTCACCAAATCTAATTTCTTAAGAAAAAATAATAATAAACTGAAGAAATAAAAAATTTGAGCCAACCACCAGATCTGGGCCATGGTGGCCAAACATTGGATTTGGGCAGTGGTGGCAAGATTCAACCATTGCCCAAGTGCAATTGGAGGAAGATGGAGAAAGAGAATGAGAAATAAGGAGGAGATGGAGAAGAAAGGGAGAAGAAAGGAGGAAGAGGGGAGAGAAAAAAAACAGATAAGAAAGGAAGAGGAGGAGAGAGAAGAAGACGAAGGATGAGAAATAACAATGAAAGGTTAGGGTTTGAATAACTGAAAATGGGCGTTTGGTTCAGGAATATTAGATTACTGGGAATGTTGGATTACTGGAAAGATAGATTACCTTAGAAGATTACTGGGAATCTTTAAGAAAATATGTTTGGTTAGTTGGTGGGTATGTTATATTAATATGTTTGGTTATGGGAATAAATTGGTGGGTATGTTATTTAGATTACTAAATTGTCCCCCTTTTAAATATTAATATAATATTATTTTTATTATTAATTTTTGAATAATTTTTTTAAACCCCAATATTTCAGATTTAGCTAAAACACCCCCGCTTATATAAAACTTTAATTTATGATGAAATCACCCCCACCTCATGCCGCTGCCTGCCGCCACCGCAAACCACTGCCGGAAAATCGCCGGAGTCTCTAATAAAGAAGAAAATTCTGTGGGAGGCTTCGGGAAGCTTCGCTTGATGGCCGAAAACGGCCATATCAGGCCAGATCTGGCCGAAAGAAAATGGCTAGATCTATTCTGGCCATTTCCGGCCAAATCGATGGATCTAGCCGTTAACGGCCAGATCCCTGGCCGTTAAACGACCATGCGAAGCTTCCCGGAGCCTCCCACAGAATTTTCTTCTTTATTAGGGACTCCGGCGATTTTTTGGCGGTGGTTCGTGGTGGTTGGCCCGTTGTCGGCGGTGGTGGCTTGGTGGCAGTGGTGGTCCGTAAATAATTTTAAATATAGGGGTATTATTGTCCAAAATTTTAATTAAACAAGGGTAAAATTGAAATAGGATATTAATGTAAATTTGTTTTAAAGTAGGGATATTATTGTCCAAAATTTTTATTAATAAGGGATAAAATTGTAACAAAAAAAGATAACCCTAGTAATCTCAGAATACCTAAGAAAATTGAGGTAATCAGATTACCTCTAATATTACCAATAGTAACTACTGTTAGTATTTGAAGATTACCAGTATCTTATATTACTTGACAACTAAACATGGTAATCAAGTAATATAAGATGACATTACCCTAGTAATCCCACTTAACCCCCAACCAAACGCCCCCAAAGGGAATTGGGGATTTTTTATTTAATAGATTTTTTTTTTTTTTTTTTTGGAATTTGGACTAATTAAATATTTAAAAATGCTGATGTGAAAAGTGGAGACGTGGCAGGTGATGTAGCTTGCTGTGTCAGTTACTACGTCACTTTGTATAAAAACTTTTTGTAAGTATTTATAAGTATAACATTTCTCTTGTAAATATACCTCTCTAAGACACTCTCTTATCTGTCCTAATTGATTGGCATATGCTTCTTTTTGTAAATTTTCACTTAACATGTCTAAAACATTTTCTAAACCCGCTCATTTAAGCCTAGGATCAAATATGACAACTAAACAATAAAGAAAATGAATGAGTTTCTAATATTTTTTAAATTTAAATTCCATTGCTTCTATTGGTCCCACTAAAATTTCATTGTTTCTGTTTCAAGCAAATAGATTTGAAAATTTGAAAATTGTATGTATTACCAATAGACTAGTAGGATAATATACACCATAAAGTTTTAAAGTGATAAGATAGAATATTTAAAAAAAAAAGAATGAAAATTTTGAGTTATATGTCAATCAATCTCTACCAAATAATAAGGATACCTCTTATTTGTTACAAAATAACTGATTAAATTTGCATAAGGTAAACATGAATCAAATATTAAATAACTACTATTCCACTTAATTGGCATGTCTAATGCAAAAGTTCTAGGAGACAAATTTGATTTTTTACATGCATCTTAAAATTCAGAATTTCTTTTATTACTATTGATAATCCAAATTAAACAATCTCTAATTCTATCAATATTATTTCTAATTCTTTTCATACCACTTTTTACAATTAAATTAGTAATGTGATATGCATAACGTTGATGAAAAAACTTCAAATTCTCATAAAAAATAAAATTTATTTTAAAAAAAAAATCTACATGTCTACTGTTAGCACTTGCATTATTTAAAATTAGACTTATCACTTTGTGAACAATATCATATTCTTCTAAAACTTCAATAATTTTATAATAAAGTTTTTGACCACTATGATCCACATCCATTAATTTAAATCCCAATAAAGATTTATTTAATTTACATTCGTTATCAAAATAATAACTAGTCACACAAATATAATCTTGTTTAGTTCTATCACTGCAAATATCGATGGTTAGAGTCACATTAACATGACAACTATGTATTTTATTTCTTAAACAAATTTATTAAATCATTTCTAGTTGAAGTTTTAGAATAAGTTTTAAATTCTGGTAAAAATGAATTTTTAATAAATCTTTCAAAATATTTATCTTCGGTTATATTAATAAGTTGATCAGTTGCAATAATATATAAAGCTAATTGTTCCTTATATACATCAGATTTATAATGCCAAGTATTACCCATACTAGTTATTTGAGTCTGATTGGTTTCTCTATTTCCATGATGATTTATATGTTTACCAGCATGCCTTTTTAAAGTACTAGTACCACTTGCATTGGCTTTATAAATATTTCCTCAATATTTATATCTTGCTTTCTTCACTTGAACTTAATTTTATGTCTCATAAAACAATATATAAAGCTAATTGTTCCCTATATATATCAGATTTATAACGCCAAGTATTACCCATACTAGTTATTTGAGTCTGATTGGTTTCTCTATTTCCATGATGATTTATATGTTTACCAGCATGCCTTTTTAAAGTACTAGTACCATTACCTGCATTGGCTTTATAAATATTTCCACAATATTTACATCTTACTTTCTTCACTTAAACTTAATTTTCTGTCTCGTAAAACTTTTCGAAATGCGCCTAAACGTTTGATGTGTGCTTGTCGTCAGTTTCGATTGTTGTAGTTGATGAACCCGCTTCTATTTCAGATGGTGTTGGACGAGGACGACGATTACGAAAACGACCTCTGGAACCACTGGGAGCTAAAGCAGTATGGGGAGGAAAGGGGGAAATATTATGAGGTGTATTGGATTCTGAATAAATTTTGTTTCGTTGGCCTCTCCTAAATTTCATAACTAAATAAATATATGAATTTAACTTTTCATTTTCGTGTTGTAATGCACATTATTTGTATCAATAACACTACACATACAACACTCTCTTATAATATGACATCGCATCTAAAGTGGCATATGTCACCTCATCTGTCACATCACTTATAGAGGTCGTGGAGTTGGTGTAGAGGTTGACTTGGTGCAGTTGTGGTGGTGACTACATTTTGCGTGAGATTGGGGAATGTGGTGGCTAGGGTTCTAAAAATTGAAAGGATATTTAGGAAAAACTTTAGGGTTTGAATTTCATGGAAAATGAAATTGATTTAGGGAAAATGAAATTTGAAATTTGGGGCTGTAGGGAATTTTTCCTTTTATTTTTTATTTTGGGAGGCAAGTGACATGCCATCTAAGTGATGTGACAGATGATACGGCATATGTCACATTAGATGTCATGTCATATTATAAGAGACTATTGTATATATAATGTTATTGATACTAATAATGTGCATTTCAACACCAAAATGATAAGTTAAATTCATAAATTTATTTAGTTATGAAATTTAGGAGAGGCCAATGAAACGACACGTTTAGTTCTCACTCCACTTGAACTCAACTAAGAAAACCAAATATTAAACGATAATGCGAAGATATATTAGTTGTAATTTCTCTGAATAAAATTAGAAATATATATTAATCTACAATCAAATTCAATACTGATTTATTAGACTCCGTTTGGTTCACTATTCTGATATTTTTTAGAATAATATTTAAAAAAATGGAGGCTTTGTTTGGTTTAAGATTGAGAATACTACTCTTAGTATTCCAAAAAAGTTAAATAGTAAAATACCAAAAAACTCTCATTTTTGAGAATACTATTTTCAATATTATTTAATTTTTTTTAAACCCTCTAAATTTGTTAATTTAATTAAATACCCCTAAATATTTTTTTAAAAATTATAAAAACACCCAAACAATCCACATTTACCAGATTTCGGCCACCACCGCCGGAAAATGGCCGGAATTTGGTAAGATGGCGCACTACCGGCTGAATCTGGCCGGTAGTGTGCCGATCTAGCCTTTTCCGGCCAGATCCACGGTGGATCTGGCCGGAAAAGGCCAGATCTAAGGCCAAAGATCTGGCCGTCAACGGCCAGATCCACGGTGGATCTGGCCGGAAAAGGCCAGATCTAAGGCCAAAGATCTGGCCGTTGACGGCCAGATCTTTTGCCGTAACAGTCGGTCACGACGACCAACAAATGGTCGTCGTTGACCATCAACGACGACCGTTTGTTGGCCGTCGTTGAGAGCAAATACGACCAGATCTGGCCGTTGATCTGGTCGTAGATCTGGTGGATCTGGCCGGAAAAGGCCATATCGGCGCATGATCGGCAAGATCCAGTCGGTCATGGGCCGATAAGGCTATTCCGGCCACCTCCGGTGGTGGTGGCCGGCTGGGGGTATTTGAGAGTGGATTGGGGGTGTTTTTGTTAACTTTTAATATTTTATTATAGGGGGTATTTTGTAAAAAAACAAACATAAGGGGTATTTTAGTAATTTATAAATCTTACATCGTAATACCCGCCCAATTCAACTTTTTTAACTTTTTTCAAAAAACTTTTCCCAAAACCTCCAAATTTTGAACCAAATGAAGCCGTAAAGTTGAGTTATATTTACGAGAAAGGTAATTGTCAATATTTTGAGTTGAATAAAATATAATTGGATTTTTAAAATAATAATAATACTAACGTCACTAACCCTTCTCACTAACTCCTCTCACTAATCCCATGTGAGAGTTTGTGATTGACTTGATTAGGTGGGATTCATTATTGGACAGACAGGACCCATATGAACTGGTGAATTGTAAATTAACATGTGATATTAATAAGAGAAAGTTAGTGAAAAGTGTTAGTGAGTGTAGTGTTACTCTTTTTTAAATATTGAAACAGATGTATTTTTGAGTTTTTAGGATAGGATAACAGACAAATAATGAAACAATTTTTATCAAAGTCAAAAGTCTGTCCGCGTGTGGACATCGTTTTCCTTCTCACTTCACTGTACAATGCGGACTTCAGTTCAAAGTGGACAAGAAAAGGGAACTCAGTAGAAGACTTCAATAGTGAAGTCTTCCAACACGGCAACACCTAAATCCCCAATTCTTCCCGTCAAAGGTTCTTCCAATTTCCTAGCCGAATTCATTTCTTCAGTTTTGACCAATTTAAAGCGGAATTTTTTTTTCTGGGTATTTCATTTACTGAGTGTGTTAGTAATTCTTTGTCCATTTATACAATTATACTGAAGCTTTACATGTTCATTGATATTAATATAATGGGTTTTGATCATTGATGTGGATCGTAATAGTTTTGTTTTGAAGCTTTGATTGGGTGAATCATGTTGATATTTTGTTGAACAGTTGTCATATCTGTAATTTTCATCGTTAATTTGTGGCTGAAATTAGGGTTTTTTTATTTATTTTTATTTTAGTTGTAAATATGAAACCATTAGCTTTCTGCTTTTACTTTTCTTGTTTAATATCTATTTTTTAAAATTTATTTTTTGAGAAGAAGTTATAGATTAGTTTCTTAATTTCATAGTTTGATGTTAACTCCTAGAGTTAATTTGTCATGCTTACAGAGTTTTGATGTTGATAATTTCTTGTGGAACTTAAAAGAATATACTCATAGTTGATTAAAGTTTTAGTTATATCATTCTTATACTGAGATTGAATTCTTTGTTTTAGGGAGATGGAGTCACTTATGAGCATGGAAGCTTTTGTTTCACTGCTTAATTTGAAAGCCAGAGAATTTCTTATGGAACGGAATGCTGATGTGGGCAAAGATATAATTAGCACATTACCTGACTCTATTCTACTTCACATTCTTTCCTTCCTTCCCATCAAAGATGTTTTAAGAACTTCTGTATTGTCGACAAGATGGAAATATCTTTGGACTTCTATTTCCAATATTGATTTTGATGAGACTAGTAATAATTTTCCATCAGGCATGAGGGCAAGCATTCGGGATTCAGTGAATAAAGTATTTCTCCTCCATGATCCTTCAAGTATACAAAAGTTCCGTCTTAGGAGTAGAAGGAGTGTCAGCAGATCACGTCTTAATTCATGGGTATCGACTGCAATAAGTCATAAGGTTGAAGAGCTTGATCTTGACTTGCCTGTTTCACCATCCTTTAAGTTGCCTGATACCCTTTTTACCTCTGATACGCTCAGCATATTGAAATTGAATATGGAAATAGTGTTCAAGGTTCCCAGGTTCACACGCTTCTCAAACCTTAGAACTCTATCTCTAAGGAAGGTTAAATTTCAAGGTAACCAATATGCTGAACATCTTTTTTCTGCTTGTCTAGTTCTCCAAGAGTTGGTTTTATACAAATGCGTTTTGGTGGATACCACGAGAATCACCATTTCTATTCCTACTTTAAGGAAATTGGAAATCCGTCGTCCTCTCCCCCTAGACTATCAATTATATGGATGTTGTGTCACAGTTTGTGCAGAAAATCTGATCTCTCTTAGTTGCAAAAGGTGTGCAGTAGTTGAACTTGTACTAAGTAACCTATCTTCAATGAAGGATGCATATATTGATGAAGAATGTTCCGGATATCAGGATAATGAATTTACTAGACGTGTTATAGAAGTATTAGGTGGAATGCATAATGTCCAGTCGCTTAGATTGTCATATGATACCCTTCAGGTATGAAAACTTCTTCTTGAGCAACTGTTCTTAGAAGTTCTTTCTTCATATGTTCATTCTATGGATAGATATAACATAATTCTCTTGTGACATTAACCCTTATTCCTTTTTGTGCCAAGTGTCTCGCTCGTGAAAAAAATCTTCAAGCTAGTCTTCCAATGTTTCATAACTTGATTCATTTGAAGGTGATTAAGAAGATGTACGATTATACAAACGAGGAAGTGTTGATGTCCTTTCTTGAGAAATCACCTAATGTAAAAACTCTTGAGTTACCTGAGGTAGTTATATCAATTATAGCTGCAAGTTGATCTCCATAGAACTCAAATTTTATGGGATGTGAAGCCTCCTTTTCCATTAATAATTTGTGTTCATAATGCAGGTTTGGGTAAAAAACATTTTCCCTCAATGTTT